ACCTGACAGCCATGACTAAGTATTTTTTCTAAGGAGGGACAGCTAAGCCCTTCCCTGTCTTGGTTTATTAAATATCATCCTAGACCATGGGTAAAAAGTAATACACAGAAATGCATATAGGAAGGGAAGTCAAACAACAGGAGAGAACTAAGCCTGACAGACTGTCGTAAAAAGAGAATGCATGCCTCATTTACAGGCCGTAATACTCATGACCAGCTGATTTTCATTTCCATGGAACTAAACACCCCAAAGCTAAAATACAGCTCTTAAAAAAAGAAGATACTCTGATCAGGTAGGCCACCAGTTTGTGATCTCTTCTCTGTTTGATTCTTTTTGCTCCAAATACCTTGCCCAACCCTTACAATTCAGCTTTTTAAGTACTCTGGATAACAGAAAAGTATTCCTATTCTGGTCACTATAAAAAGATGCATGTCCGATTGAAAAATAAATTGTTACTGATTCATGCCAATCTTTCATAAGTTTGGTGAGCACAGATTAATCCTCAACACCTGGAAGCAAAAGAGAACATCAAGTTTCTAGATTTAAAAGCAGAGAATCAAACCCTGAAACCACTGACCCCGTGGCATCCTTCTAATGCCATCTTCAATAGTCTTGAGTGAAGTTTATCATAAAATGAAAAGTAATTTTGGGGGGTTAATAAACGCCTCCAGTCACATAATCCAATTATCTTTTGCAGACACAGCACACAAAGGAATAACAATGAATTCCTAGACTACATAGCCTAACAAAATAAAACCAACATTTTTGCTGTGTTAAAATCTTTATACTCTTATTTAGCACCTTTTGTACAACGAAACCCTTTAAAAAATAATTCTAACAAGGCTATAACAATTATCGCAGGCAATAACACAGACTGAAATACATGTTTACAATAAAAATACATTTCTTTAAAGGAAAATTTTACATTAAAAATGTATCTTAATTATAAACACTTTAACAACCTACAATATAAAATTCATAGAATTCTGAGGTTAAAATTAGAGCTACACCAATCATCCCCAACACTACATCCTCTCCTTTATACAGAAACAGTATACATGTGTGACACACACACTTTCTCTCTCAGGAGAGCCAAGTGCCTCCAGCCCCAAACCACCTGCTAGCTTCCAGAACTACAGTTCTTTAAGACATACATTTTCCCTTAAGTAAGGTAAACCTCTCCTGAACTTACCTGCTGTTAGGTTTTACAGTGTCTTGTGCAAGTCTCTGAATCATTCATTGAAACGACCAGTCTTAGAAATGTAAAGCACATCTGAACCAGTTAGTGTGACAAAATACTTGCAGTTAAGACAGTCCGAACAAAGCATCATCAAACGCCAACTCACATTTAACTTGCCCTGTGTGATAGCCAAATGAGTTGACTGCAAGTCAGAACAGAGAGATTCAAGGAATGGTACCTCACAGAATAAAAATTTAGAGTATATGAAAAACTACTTTTATCTTGGATTATCAATTGTTCACTTGAAAAATATCATAACCTAAGTCCATTTAACAAATGCAGCAAAACAAAAAACATATTTCTAAAGCACAAACTACTTAAAAGCCTGCAAATTACAGTCCCTCTTAATGTGCACACCAGTGATATCCTATCACATTGGGTCAAAGGTCAAAAGCAGTGTTTCTCAAGGTAAGGCCCACAAGCCATAATCACCTGGAATTCTCCTTAAAAATGTGCCCCAGACCCAATGAATCCAAGCTGGGAAGGAAGATTTCAGGAATGTGCATTTTTACCCTTCCAAGGTAAGCACACTTAAATTTGAAAACCACTGGTTTAAGCGTGAGGCCAATAAGGAGACTCAGAGTAAGACTGAAATACTAATGGAAATGCTAACAAATTCAGAGATCACCTAAAAAGTGATCAAATACTGGCATCAAAGCATTCCCTTCCTTCCTTCCTCACTAGCAGCCCATTATCAAAAAACTGATGAAAAAAATGTGGCCTTGGCCTGTCCCAAAGGCAGTCTGGAAAATTCCTAAAGATTTTGGAAGAGACAAAATGTTTCCCCACAACTGCAAACGTGGAAAACAGACCATCAAATGCTTACAATCTCTTTTGCTCTGAACGCTTCCACAATACCTTATGGTTGAGTAACTAACAGTTTTTCACCAGCCAGTTGTGTCTAAGCTTAATCTTGACCATTTGGCTTCCTTCAGTAGTGCCCATTTCAGAAACATCTGGTGTTACTTCTTATTCTTAAGTTCTTTCAAACGTCTAGTGTAAGTAAGGATGTAAGACAGAAAATGCTGAGATGACTGTATCATACCTGTAAGGCCAATATTGCTGTTAGCGTGCACAGTGCTCTACACCCCTGTAACTGCACTACTTGCCTTGGCAGCCATCTTGGATATGAAGCCTGGCTAAGGAGACCATGAAGAGCACTGTGAGTAAACTGCCCTTGTTACCATCACTATAGCTACAAACAACTCTAAGGATTAATCCTAAAGATGCAGTTTGTAACTTTGCCTTCAAATACGAAAAATAATGTTACCGCGTACTAAGACCGCTCTAATAAGCTACAACCAAAGCTTTAGCAAGTATGATTTGGGGGCAAAGAAGTACGAGAAATAAAAATTGAGGAAAGGAAACGGGCCATTCATTTTCTTCCAAATGTTACAGTATGAGCAAATAAAAACAACTGTTGTCAAAACAGCCCTAACGTGAAATTTATCAGAGGCATTGTAAAACAGCATATAGTGGGACACTAAACAAAGGAATTATAACCTTAGTCAAAACGACATACTTGCATTATCAAATCACGTTGCCTCTGGAGGTTAACAAGTTGTAAATAACCTACATAATTAGTGGCTCACATTTTCAAATACCAATTTCAGTAACGTATAAAAGCATGACGAAGATAAAAATGTAGTGGGCCTGAGCCTAACGGAATTATACCAGATCTTAGCTTTCTCAGTTTGCCGTAACTGGTAAGAGATGGCTCACTCCGCTTGCCTTTTAAATCGCTTTGTACCTTTCAAGTTAGCTTTAGATTAACATTTAGCTGCAAAACAAAGACAATCTCTAGATCCACTAATCCTTTCAAGTCACCAAGGAAAACAAAATCCCACTAACAATACACCAGAGGTGGCAACCTACACAAGCTCCAACAGTCCTAAGTCCGCAAAGCCTACAGATGGGGCAGAGCATGCAAGAGACAGCACGAGGATTCAGCGGCGGTCATCTCACCTGTTGATGAAACCATATCCGTTTCTTACATTGAACCATTTTACTGTTCCCAAAACCTTCGTTGCTAGAGGAAAAAAAAAAAAAACCCCACAATTACCAGACATCCTTTTTTTTTTTAAACCGCCACGCATCAGCATCCGGTGGCTCCCGCGTTCCCCGGCGGCGGCCAGCGGCCACCTGACAGCCTTTCTCTCCGGGGCCCGCCGGCCAGCCGCGCGGTCCACGTGGGTGAGCCCACAGCTACGGAGGCCCGGGGCGCGGGCCCGAGCTGGGTGTGCGCGGGGACCGCGGGCGGCGGGCGCTGCGGCGAGCACGTGAGAAAAGGGAAGCCGCCCAGCCCACTCCGGCCTGCGTAGGCGGCGCGCCGCGCCCTCCGAGTACACGCGGAAAGGAGCGGGTGGGGGACGCAACAACGGCGTGCGGGCCCGAGCACACGCGGCCGGCGGGCGGGCAGGCGCCGAGGGGAGGGACCCCGCCGCACACGCGGTCGGCGGCGCGCGGCCGCCCAGGGGGAGGGGCGCGCGGCCGCGCGGGGTCTGCAGGGGGCGCGGGAGGCGGCGCAGGCGCGCCTCGGGCACGCGGACCGGGCGGGCCGGCGTCCGCGAATGGGGGGGGCCTGGGGGAGGGGTGGCCGCGCGCCGCCGAGTCGGTCCCCGCCGGCCGCGCGCCCGCCGGCTCGTCCCGCTTCGGGTAACGGTTCCGCCGCCAAGCTTCCCTCCCGCCCCACACTCGTCCCCGTCCGGTCCTTACCGATGACCTTCTTGTCCCCGCCGGCAGGCGCCGCCGATGTGAGGCCGCCCGGGCCGCCGCTCCCTGCGCCGCTGCCCGTCGTGCCGGGCTTGGTGTCGGCAGCGCTGAGGGCGGGGGCGGCGGGGGGGGCGGCGGGCGGCTGCTGGGTCTCGGCCTCGCTGCTCATGGTTGCGGTGATGGTGACTGGGGCCGGCTGCGGCAGCTGCGGCTCCTCCCGGGATGTGATGGTAACTAGGCCGGCGGCGGCGGTGGGGCTGCACAGGGCTCTCTGGGGTCCGCTCTCCGCTCCCGCTACCGATCGAACTAGCGAGAATGGCGGGACGGGCGGGATAAGCCCGGCGATTGACCCGCCCCAAGGATCGTTCACTGGCCAGCAATGCTGTCAATCTCACCACCTGACCTCAACTCGTGACTTCTACTGGCTAATACTCTATCACTCCTCCACTGTCATTGGCCCTTAGGCAGCTAATTCGGCCGACCTGCAACCGTTCCTGCCTCCGCCGCCGCCATAGAGACCGGAACTAGAATTAGAGTCACCACGAGAACCATAGAGTACTCGAGAGGACGGGCAGAGGGAACGTGACTTTCACGAGGCGGCAACCCGGGCGGGCCCGAATTCCAGGGCAGTGTCCTGGCCGAAGGAAAGGCACGGCCAGACGCTTGGGCCGGGATTACCCGACCTGACCCGGGGCCCAATGACACCTTAGCTCCATATGGAGAGAAGGCCTCCCGCCCGCCCTGCTCCAAATATGGTCCTTGTGACCTCAGACCATGACTGCAGATAGAGCCGTCTTTTCTACAATGGCCGTGTACTCGCGGCAGAGCTGAGAGTTTCTGGAACGGACTTAAACGTATGCATTCAAAGAGCGTCGGCTTACGGCGGAGCAGTCACCTTGGGGGGACCACGCAAGGTATCAGGCAGCCCTTGCCCAGCATATGGAGGGCGGGGGTGTACTCCGTGGGGACCTGCCTCCCGATCTATCATACCAGGCACAGGAGGACTGTATTGAGTATTCACATCTTTTCGTATTGGCCACAAATCAGGTTTAATTTCACCTCACGTTTATTGAGCACGCTAGGCATTTTTCGTGCATTTTATTCTTAAAACAGCCATGTGAAACAGGGATTACTATGCACGTTTCACAAACGATTTGTAATTGAGGCTGCCGCATGATGTAGATGAAGTCGTCCACCTTCGTTCTTTATTAAGCGTCTACTATCTGCTGGGTATGGACAAGTGCGCCAGTTGCTGCCTTCTTAAATTCAGTCTAGGGATAAAGGCAGAAATTTAAACATGCAACACACCCAACACTACAGCGCTGCAAATGCACAAAGCATTTTGGGAGTGGCGGTGGGGAGAAGGTTTAGTGCAGACTCCAAGCACATGGAGGATTATGCAAAGGCGTAGGAGGCAAGAAGAGATGGGGTCTGGGGCAAATACAACTAAAGTAGTCCAGTAAGACCAGAATGAAGACATTTGGGTTATAGAGGTAGGCAGGGTTAAATTAGGAACATTTTATCTGAAACTTAACCTAAGGGCAATAGTGAGAAGAGTAATTTTAGAATTGAAAGTAGGGAATGGCACTTTTCTTTTTCTTTAATGGCTGGGGAATAGTGAATGGGCTGCAGAAGGGCAAAAATGAAAGTAGGGAGACCAGCTAGGAGGCTAGTGCAGTAGTCCTTACCCCATCGGTATCATCTAGGCCTGTAAATTCCACCCCTTAAAGGCCTCCCTGAATCAGTCCTAAAAAAATCTCTAAATGCCAATCCAGAGTTTCTTCCTTCCTACTGCTGCTACTTTAGTGTAGGCCATCATCATCCATTGCTCAGAGCAGGAGTAGGCACCTTTTCTATAGGGGCCAGGTAGTGTTTTAAGCTGTGTAGGCCAGATTCTCAACTACTCAAATCTAGAGCCTGAAAGTAACCACAGACAATCAGTAAACAAGTGCATCTGTGGTCCAAAAAAATGTAATTTATGGACACTGAAATTTGAATTTCATGCAATTTTTATGTCACAAAATATTCTTTAGATTTTTCAACTATTTAAACTTTTTTTCCCCCAACTATTTAAACATTTAAAAATCATTCTTATTCTTCGCTCATGAACCACTGAAAAATAGGGAGTGACACCTGGCCTGCCAACCCCTGGCTTACAGCACTGCTGCGGCCTCCTAGCCAGTGTCTCTACCTTTCTTACTCTAATATTCCCCATCACAATATCCAGTGTTCTTTTGAAAACATCCATCTGATCACGACACTGTCTTACTTAAAATCTTTAGTGACTACACCACCCACAGGATTGTCCAGATTCCTTAATGTGGTTGGCAGGACCCTACATGACCTCTAAACTTACTTCCTACTCTTCTGTCACATTCCCTGTCCAATCTTCCAGGTGACCTTTTAGCCACTGCTTCCTTTGAGCTATCACATACTATTCCCTCTACTTATAACATTCTTCCTTTCTCCCTTCTCCTTTGCCTGCTTAACTCTTCATCCTCTAGGTCTTGCCTCAGATGTTACTAGGTTAGGAGACCCTCTCCTAACACACTGTACTGCACTCATTATATCTTCCCTGCCAGACTATGAGTTCCTGAGGCATCTAGCATAGTCCCTGACACACAATATCTTAATTAATGTGTCAAGTGAATAATGTGATGTAGAAAATGGGTTGGAGAAGAAGGTACTGGCAGCAGAGAGGTCATCTGGGCAGCAGCACCAGTAATCCAGGTGAAAAAGGTCTGCGGCAGCAAGTGTGAAGGGAGAGAAGTAGGTGGATCCCGGAGCTGCTGTTCATCTGTTCCAGCTCCAGGTGACTTATGACTGTTAAAAAGAAAATATTTCCTCAAAGGCAATTCTGCCAACACTTAGGAAATTTAAAAGTGTGCCCCATAGGCTTGAGAGCTTTTCCCCAAAGTGGAGTTACAAAGGCACTTAGAATAATGGCAGCAGCACCTCTGAGAATAAGTAACCTTCCTTATGTAACTGCTTTGAAGGGATGGCTTCTCAAGCAGAAATATAAATTCTGTAATATTTGTCTTTAAAATGTTACTTAGAAGTATCATTACTTACTCATCCAATTACTTCACTAAAGTCTCTCTTCATGCTCAGTGAACATGAAGATGAGTGATTTAAGAAACTCGTTTCCTTGTAGCCCCCTCTCTGCCACTGCAGAGATGGTACTGAAGCACTGGAGGAGAAACAGTTCATGTCAAAATCCATCTACTGTTCCAAGGTGGGAGCTCCCCAAGCCATGCTAGTCCCCTTGCCACCCTGAGAGCCCAGTGTGGTGACCACAGCTCCAGTGTCTACCTTTAAGTGATGTGAAAGGCAAGTGGTTTCATTCCAAGAATCTCCTCTGCAAAACTTTCACCTTGTCCCCATCTCTAACAGACTCTGGGCCCCAAAACATAGTTGCCTTTTCCTAGAAAGCCCTCCCCACCCTTATCTCCTGGCTAATTCCAACCAATCTGTCAATACTTACCTCAAATGTTGCCTCTTCCTCTCACCCCCAATCTTTCCACTCTGCTCCCATAGCATCTTATACATACCACTATCATTCACACAACAAATATTTATTGAACACTTACTGGCTACTAGGTGCTGGAGACGGCAGTGAAAAACAAAAACGACCAACTTTCCTGTCCTCATAAGGGCTCACATTCTAACACTCACCACACTGAATCCAAACCATGCCTATCCCCTGTCACAAACACAGGCCACAACTTACTCATCTTTACAGCTCCAGTGCCCAGGACAGAAACTGGCAAAGAATGCAGGTGCCAAGTGTAACTGAATTCAACTGAATGGCCCGTCATAAGAACATCAGCTCAGGATCGCAGCTGCTCATCCTCCATCCTCTCTCTTTATAATTCTACCCCGTTTAGTTACTTGAAGATTTCTCCTCCACTAGATCACAACCCTTTCTTCCCCGTGTGCCCTGAATCCTGTTTACTTAGCTAGACAGTTGCAAATATCCAAACTATAGGGCCCTTGTATATCTCACCACCTTTCTTGTCCCCCAGTACACTGAAATGGCACTTTTAGCCTGGTTCTATTTTATCACAGAATTCAGCTCTCTGCTACTCTGCTGCTGCAGTAGCCTGCTGCTAGTAGTTATGAGTCATCCCTGCCATGAGCCAGGAGAAAGTAGGAATGGGATAACAGAAACTGCCTCATGAAAGGAATACGAGGGAACTCCCTCCTGAACATTACACTCAATGGGATCTTTTTATCTTTTATGTTTTTGTTATCCTTTTATTTCCTTTCAAAACAAAATTTTCCAACGCACGTTACTGTCTACAAGTTATCCTCATCTCCATTCTCTTGTTTGACCCTTTCGACAATGCTGTGAAGTAGTATTATTATCCCCATTTTACAGATGAGGAAACTGAGGCTCTGAAATGGGGAAGTGAACATCTCAAGACCTCAACTGTTTAAAAAATGACTTCGGATTCAAACCAAGATTTTTAACTATTAATAAATGATTTCCACTTCATCATGATCAAGACACATTCTACCAAATGGTCTCCCATCCCAAAATATCCCAAGCTAGTGACCCTTCACCCACAGGCTCTAGAACTAACCAAAATGAACCTACTGGAAACATAAGGCCCTGGGGCTTTGCCTTCTTTGCCCGATCAGCTTGAACCTAAGAGGGGACTGCTACAACTGCTTGTAAGTCTGAGGCATCAACTCTACATATCAAGGGCCTGGCTCTGGCCCATGCTGGCCTCTGGGGAGAGTCAGTACTCCTAGCTGGAGCTAAGAAGTGAGGAAACCGGCTATCATTACAACCATTTAAAAAGAACACAACACACGGTTAAAAAAAAAAACCCAAAAAAAAAAACCAAAAAAAAAAAAAGAACAACTTTATTTACAGTTGAAAACTTAAACACAAAATCTTGGCTTCTGAGTCTGTGATACTTCCAAGGTCTTTTGATCAAATGGGGCAGCAGCAGGCAGGGAAGCAAACACAGGGGCCAATCCAGCTTATCTTACTCAAGAACGTCACCCCGAGCAAGGGAAGGCCTGCAATGGCAGATGTGGAGGGTCTGTGAGAGATGGAAGAGAGAAGCAGCTCAGAGGAACAGGGAGGGGACAGTCCATGAGAGAAAACACTTGCAGCTCTCCTCTACACCCCGAACCCTCCTTTCCCCAAAGAGCAGACCACTTTGATTCTTGCCACAGGCCAGACCTTTGGTGCCCCAGAGCAGAGCTGAGAGGTGTGTTACACAGAACCAAGAAAGAAACTAATATTTACGGCCAATACACTGTCTCCTTTATTATTTACCCTTCACAACTCTGTGTAGTATATATTATTTATAATTAAGTGGAGGGAAAAACTAGGGCTCCAAGGGGTTTAATGGCCTGACACTGATGGGGCTTCCTGGTCTACTTGGCTCCGAAGTCTGTGTGCTTTCTGCCAGACCTTGATGGCTCTCTGTGGAGCTCCAGAACAAAGAGCAATCCTTTTCCTTGATTGCTCCCAGGGTTATAAAGAAAGGAAACTCCACACCCTCTGTTTGTGGCCTTGGAGTTAGCTGTCCTAAAAGAACAGGGTGAGTACACTCAGTTACTACTGCTCCCCTCCCCCCAAACATGACCACACCCCTCTTCCTCCAGAGCACAGTGGGTCCTGGCATCATACCGCAGGCTCAGACAGAAGTTTAACCCTGGGCCCTCAAGCAGAATGTACAAAAATGTATAAATGCACTTTATAAGTTGCATGGTGCTCCGGGACCTAAGCTCTATCACTGACCAGGCACTGTGTTAGTCAGCATGGTCCCTGCCTCAAGGAGTTCTCAGTCTAGAGAAAACCAGACCAACATATTCATGATACACTGTGTCAAATGCTGTAATAGAGAGATGAACCAAGTACTGTGGGTGCACCCAGGAGGGGACCAGGGAATGATTCACAAACTGATGTTAGCTACATGCTTCTGGGAAGGGCTGGGAGGAACTAGGATTAGTTAAAACTACATATATACAGTATGTATTTCTATTATAAAATACATGCCCAGTGTAGAAAATTCAAGCATATACAGGACAATATAAACTGAAAAGAAAGTCTCTTTGCTATCTCTACTCTGCAGAGGTAACCATTACTACCAGTCAGCTATCTATCACTACAGTAATTTCTGAAAGAGTAATTCAAAATAAATAGCATCATGTTTACATAATGTACTACATCTTGACTTTGTCCCTTAATTTGCCTTAGAAATCTGCCAACAGATACAGATCTACCTCTTTCTTTTTAAGGCTATATAGT